GAATGAAGTCGGACGATTTCACCCACCCTATGAACTACGGCAATTGCGACTAAATTATGCCATTCGACATCCCGGAATGAAGGAGGCAGGAAAAACGCGCGTTCCTCGCTCCATTTCCACGATCGCAGATGCGAGATAACTTTTCTCCGCTCGTCGTATCTTCCGCGTTGGTTCCAACGACGAATGGGGTCATCCTCTAAGTTTTTCGAGTTCGACCATCGAGCTTGCACGGTTAAGAGGCAAAGAAAAAGGGAGCGAGAGGGAGAGAAAGTCTAGAGGATTTCACGGTATTCTGCGCGAACTGCTGCTCTTTTCACGCCCTCCTTTCAATGTATATGACACCTTAATAATTATCACATGCCGTTGAAATGAATGGATAATTTGAACGGGCAGATAAATTAATCGTCGCATCAACAAATTTATTCTCTCCGCAAATAATTTTTCTCTTCTTACCGCCGGTAGGGTATCGTTAATTTTTCTCATTTTTTTTTTTTGACTCTGAAAAAATATCAATATGAATTTAACACCATCCGATGTCTATTAATTCTCACGTTGGTGTTAATATTAATACGATTTATAGATTTAACATCACAAATTTCAATCATAATGTTATCATATTTTTATCATAATCCACATCATAATGTTTTTGATATGGACACCAGGAGTTTTTAATCCACACCATGGTGATGTGGTTAATATTAACATAATGAGAATTATACAAGGTGTTCAAAAAGTGACCCTGATCCTTTAAATATCTTGAAAAGTAAACATTTCTGCGAAACATATGTTCCCCACGTTGGGAACATATGTTTCGCAGAAATATTTACTTCTCAAGATATCATCAGCCCCCTCGGTGAACGGTGAAAAAATACCAAGGGAGGCGTTGCTAACAGGGGGTCCTAAATAAGAGAGTGTTAAGGATAGAGAGGGGATTTTCTCCCTCACAGGCGAGAGAAATGACAAACTGCACGTAACCTGTTTCCTCGGTGAGCATAAAAGCTCCTGATTACGTCATTACAGATGCCCGTTCTTCACGGCATTCGTCGACACATACATTCACACTCAACGTTTCGAAACGGCTATACACGAAATCCGGTCGCAACACCACAAGAAAATAACCTTTTAAAATCTTTCTTTCGACAGTCTCGAAGTGCCTGTTATTATCGCGAGAGTAAACAGAGGCTTATAAAATTGTGATATACGAAATTGGTGCTCCGATTCCTCTGGTTAATGTTAATTCGTTAATAATTTATTATTTAAATAGTTACTCAGCAGCGGATAACAGATCGTTCAAATTTTTAAATAAGGTTATGCGAAATAATATTTGGCATTCGTAAAAGTTTCGAGGGCGAATACGTGAGATCGAGAGAATCGGCTTAGAGAGAGCGAAATAAGACGTGCTCCGTTTTTTTTTGAGCGTGTAATCCATTGTTATAATATATTCGAAATATAGCTAATTTGACGCTCCGATTTTTACTCTTTCACGATCTCAGCCATTAAAACTCTAGAAGAGAGTTCCATGCCTTACTCCATAGGCTTGGAAAAGATTGGAGAAGACTGATCACGTGACATCCTCCCCCCTCTCTTCTGATTGGACGTGGGTATTCACGGGATACAATTTCCCACTCTCTCCCTGCGAGGCTCTCTAATTAAGGAGCAAGTGGGAAAAAAGAAGACACGCCAGAGAAATTTAATTAAATATTTTCTAAACAAACACTTAAACATTCACTTAATTATACAAATATTACAGTTACGCATTTATATAAGAATCAAATATGTCAATCAATTTTCTATACGTATTGATTTTAAGTTGTACGATATGTAAGATTTGTTGTATTATGTGCAATTTTTCTCTAACACTCTAATGTTTTCTTGTACGGAATGATTGAAATAAATGCATCTGTGCATGTTTTTGTCAGGTTCGTTAATAGAGCGCGACGCACCGCGCTGCGTGAATAATATTTTTTATTTGTTCCCGTGTAATTTGCTTTTTGTTGCCATATCTAGAGATAGTTTGCCGATCACCCGATTTACCAGTTTATCCGCAAAGGAGGCGTTGAACGAAAAAAAAAACTTAGAAAGGGGGCGATATGAGTCTAAAAGGATTGAGAAACTATGATTTAAAGTATAGACTGATTATAATACTGCGTAGAGACAGTGCACAGTGTTAAATCCATACCAATATTTTTTAGAGTGCTTGAATTTTTTCATAGCTTATAAAAGGATGTCGCGATCAAATCGATGTTGTGCGAATACCGAAGCGCTTTCTTCCTTGACCCACTTTAATACGTTTCCCGCCAATCAAACGAAACGCGAGGAAACCATTATTAGCATTAACTGCGGAATTTCCATTGAGTATATTATCTCTATTCTAACGCGGGAGTGAAGTAGAAAGAAAAAAGTCATAGGACGACCAAGCGATGAGAAAAATAGAGCGTTGCATATATCCAGATTGGTACATGTTCCATTATAAAATTTCGAACGGCAGTGATGGCAAATATTCCAGAGCAAATTAATACGGTTTGCGACATGTACGTCGCGATATGTCATGAAGAGAGAGAGAGAGAGAGAGAGAGAGAGAGAGAGAGAGAGAGAGATGGAGTGAAAGTAGAAAGAGAAAGAGAGGGAGAATGTGATTGAGATTACCTGCTATATTGAAAAATCCGGATATCCGTAACTCCGTAGCGCAATGCGGAGCATCCACAAATCCGACAAATCCCAATTCCATCCGCACCATGGACGAATATTCCCGGAGTCGAAATTTCAGCTCTACCGGATTTTGTAAAACAACATTTCCGCCCAGGTTGACGCATCCGCGCTTATCATCGCATCGCGTGTAACATCTAATCAAGGGAATTCCGAAAAAAAAAGATCGAGAAAATGATTACGCTCGGTACTTTTATCAAAAAAACATGAAAGAAATAGTATAGGGGGAAGTTGTACTATTAAAAAGAATATCGTACACGTGTATTGCGTTTTATACGAACGTTACGATAAAAGCAGCTGGGTAGACTCTGATCCTGAGTTTTTCACTTCGCTTGCACTCCGTTAAATTAATTTGCGCACAAACCATGGTTAAAACGCATCGGCCATAAAACATCACGATTTATTTCTAAGAAAAAAATGTATACCGTTTTAAGGCACCGAGTTTTGATTTATTCGAAGAAAAATCCATGTTTTATTTATGAATTATTTCAAAACGTAAAATTGAAAATAAGAGATTTGAAAAATTCATTGAAAAATTTATTTTTATTTCAACTTCGGCTTGTCCTTAATTCCGGGGGAAAAAAAACGATTTCCCTTTTTATCACTTGAAATGAAGAAATACGCAAATATTAGCGGAATAAATAAATAATTAAAGACGTGATATTTAATTTGTCTTTAATATTCCATTTAGCGATTCCTTGTAGCGATCGAAACCATGACATGACTGACGGAATTCGTCCTCTTGAAACAGAAGACCTCGTGACTCAATTCATTGCTGCTTAATGTAAACGGAATCCCTGCTTCTCCGCGCATGCAGAAAGACTTAATTGTTCCTAATAATGTCGCGTAAGACATCGTGAGATCAATCGTACCGTAATCATACCAGGTCGTACATTTCCAGAACGAATTCGTCGTTCTCGAGGGAAGTTCCAGCGAGAACCTGATACGGCGAGAGCTATTATTGCGCTCGCAACGGTCAGACCGCAAAGGTAGTTAACACGCGCAATACAAATTGCATAATCTAAACGGAGAATTGTGTCATGAAAGGGATGGGAAAGGAGGAGGAGGAGGAGGGAGGGTCGTAGGAAACGTGACGCGGAGTGGTGTAGGGCGAGGGCGAGGGCGAAATCTTATCATCGATATCCACCGGGATTTCAAGTGCCAGGTAAACAGACTCGTATTTGAGATTTCCCATGCGGGGTTGACAGAGAGAGAGAGAGAGAGAGAGAGAGAGAGAGAGAGAGAGAGAGAGAGAGAGAGATGGGGGGAGGGGGGGAAGAAGGAAGGACAAGATGGAGAAAGAGGGGGGAGAGAGAGAGAGAGAGAGAGAGAGAGAGAGAGAGAGGGGGGGGGGGGGGTCAGTTTCGGAGCCAGAGGGAAACGGAAACGAATCGAAACTAGGAGGATAGCAATAAGGGAAGACGCCAGAAGCGAAGAAGAAAAGAAGAAAAAGGAGAAGGAAGAAAAGGACGAAAGTCCCTCCGTGAACGGCTCGTGCGTTCTCATGAACGATTCGATACGAATAAAACCAATAGGTCACCTAAAAAGATCTCCATTGGATAAACTTTTATCCGCATTACGAAGAGTCGAGAGCTCGATCCGGAGCGCGCGGGCCGGAGAATTACACATCTTCTTCTCATTCTTCGGCCGTCTGCTCGTGAATTACGAGCCTCTCGACTCTTCCCGTCGTGCATTAAGAGCGCATAATGCGGCTAGCCGGCCTTGTTTTCCCATCCCTCTCGGCATCTTTCAATCTTCCCGTATGCATTTTTAAGCGGCGCGACCGAGCGAGAGCGGGGCTAACTTCATTCAATTGCGCGCCGGGTAAGCGCGTATATATTTTCACGAAAACTCTATATTTCACGCACGAAAATCACTGACGCGTCAGTTAATTTGTCATACACACCGGCGGAACTTTATTACGGCAGATTTCTCCGGTGATTTGGAGTTTGTCAGATATTCGGCGAATGCAAATGCGCGCGCGGGCGCGTTTACGCGACGAATTTTACTGCGTTGTCATGCAGAATTAGAACATTGTCACGTAGTTATACACGTAGTTATTCGCGATGATGTGACCCACCTCTCCGCCCCCCCCACGCCCCTTCTCCTCCTCCACCGCCCTCCCCTGCCCTCGCCGCGGTGGTCCCCCAGCTTGATGGAATGAATGTATTCGTCGTGGAGTAGGCCAGCCTTCAGAAGAATATTCGCATAACGCTGAAGGACCCGCGTGAAATGCCGACAGCCTTGAAAGCTGCGGTGTGAAATTAAATTTCGAGCTTGTTCGACCCGCTCGTATTTTGTTCAGTTTCCCAATCTCTCTGTCACGCGCCGTCCGAATCCCGGACACAAAATTTCCTCGTGGAACGTCCGCTTCAATGGTGGTGAAAAAATTACGGCGTTAACCGCGAAAGTGTGTCGAGTTAATTTTCGGTACATCTCTCCCGCGGCTCTCTCTCTCGCGTTAAATGCACTGTTTTTTTCGCTCGGGGATCGTTAGAGCTACGCGAGTATAATTTAATAATTAAGCATACCGGAAACGCCTGCTCATCGCGGTGCCGGGGGCTGGGAAAAACCGACGGTCGAGAAAACCGGGAGGCGAGAGAGAGAGAGAGAGAGAGAGAGAGAGAGAGGAGGCGGCGGTGTAAGATGCCCTCGCAAAGAGTTAAATACGCCCAAGCTCATTTATCGCGCGCGGAGCACATCGCGCTATTAGCGCGTCCTAACTGGAGAAGACTTCGCAGACGCGATCCAAACGTCCTGGTATCTACACACGTCTATTTCCCTCATTTATCCCGGAACAGGGCGAGAACGTCTTTTGTAAAGGGAAACTCTTATTATCTCCCTTTAATACGTGTACTCGAAGAGATTGGGACATATCCGCTCTCGGATAACGTCACTCGCGTCTACATCCGTCGCTCTGGGAGTTTATTAAAGGGTACCACGATCCGTGCTCCTTTTTTACGCTGGGACTTTTTCACGGCGGTTTCTTTCTCAAGTGAATTCGAATTTCGCCGATTGAGACCGCGATGAAATGGGAAAGTCAAAGCGAGAGACGTCACCTGTTCCGAATATTTAAGGGCGTTAAACACAAATTGAGATATCCTGCAACGTGAAATCAAACGGTCGTTATGAGAGACGGAGGGAAGGTTTTTTTTTTTTTTTTCTGGAAAAACGTTCAGTTGAAAACGATCGATGGAGCAGATGCTCGAGAGCGGCGTTCGCGTGCGCTAAAAGGGGAAGGGGGAGGGGGGAGGGGGGGGTGTCTTTGTGTCTTTTCTCGGATACTTATATTGACATATATATATGTACTTTCGCAGGCGAAACCTTTTACAGTACGGCGGCGCGCGATTCTGAGGAGCCGCGCCTCGAGGCGCATCCGGGTTATGGCGCAGCCGAAATTCGTAACCAAGAAATACGATCCCGCGTAAGTGCACAGTCGTCCGCTCTTGTACTCGTCAGGTTATCGCGGGTCCTCTAGAAAATTTATTATCGCGCAGAGCGGCGCCGCCCCTTTTCCCGCGCATTCACCCGAAGACGCTCGCAGCGGAGAGCACGAAGCGTATCGTCGATCTGGCGTTGCCCAAGAGAAGGTGCACATCCATTTCCCCGATGCCGAAGAACTCGTCTCTCGATAAGAAACTTCAGTTAAAAATATATCTTTAAATAATATTACATTATTAAAGAGAATCCCAAAAAAAGTCTGCGGAGACGCAGACGTTTATTTCGAGACACTCCCATATTTTGCTATTTCCCACTTTTAGGTAGTAAAGTCGTTTTAAAATATCAAAGATTACTTTCGTGCGGTATTTTAACGTCACTCGCACTTTCGATAATGTCAGAAAATTGATAGCCGAGACTTGATCGATGATATACGTATGTGTGATATAAAACTTTAAAGCGACATACCGTAAACGTTAGACTTCTGATGGAGACGATGAAATTGGCACCTACCAAAAACATGAAGGCATTCGTGGGCGATCTGCTGGTGAAGGTTCGAAAGTCGCGGTACCAGCGGTATCGTGTATTCTCCAGCGCGCGTCAAGCGCGAGAAGCTAGGAAAAAGTAAGGCCGATACATTTCCCACTATCACGTCACTTTTTCCCTGCGAACGACACGCGGCATCTAGGCACACAATCTCTTCGGCATATTATCGTACGAGTAGCGAGCACATTGCAGTCTCCAACGGTGAACGAGAGGGATACGGAAAAAATGCAGGCTATTTTAATCGCCGTGGAAATTGCAAGATTAAATAATTGAATTGTCATATCAAAGTTCCCTTTTTTTTTCATCCTCTTTCGTTTCTTCTCTTCTCTCTATTATACTTCGGTTTCAGAAGAGTGTTGTGAAATTTAATGAAATGAAACCCGGATGTAAACTCGGCGGCAAAATAAATAATTGCACTCTATATATATATATATATATATATATAT